CAATTTATAGCCAAAAATGCAAGAGTGTGAATGCAAGCTTCAACTATTCATTTGTTGGCTACCAAACTTACCAATGGATGGTTACCAAACAATCCACCCTTTTTGACCTCATAGTAAGCCAACATTTACTCACATGGGCAACTAACTTTGACTCACATGGGTAACTCCAAAATTCTTCTACATTTGAGCCAATTTTCAACAATTATATGTAGTCTTCATAAGTTTGTGGTTTTGACTTTTGAGTTAGTTTGGTAGTTGTGGACATCATTTGAAGTTAATGTTGTTTGCACTGCATGCAAGTGAGAGGGAGGGAGGGAGCTGGTGGGGTGACTTGCAAAGCTATATGAGTTTTGAACTTTGTTAGCTCCACCAATGCTATCTAGGTCAACTTTATATGATTAAGTTTTTACTATAATCCCATGTATCTTGTGCTTTGCATTTTAAAGCCATCCTTTTTTTTCTTTCTGTGCATCACATGATGGGCTTCCAAATTCTGTATTTCTGTGATCATACAACCATGGGAATTCGAAAACTTGTCAATTGTATTATTTTTGCCTTGCTTCAGCCATGTATGTGAGAAGATGTTCACTGACAGTTGTGTTTTTTTGTGCTATTTACATGGTGGGCTTTCATAACTGTGCAGAAGATGCCAACTATACAGGTAAATCCTCTTTGAGGAACTTGGGATGTTTTTCCTCCCCCTTTCTATTTTCTTCTCTGTAGTAATCAGGATGATTATGTTACAGCTGTGGAAAGACGGCAAGAAACAAGCTGAGGTGATCGGTGGTCACAAAGCATATTTAGTCGTTAATGAAGTTCGTGAGATGATTGAAAATGAGGATGACACGTGAGGTTTGGTAACATGGACAATCTTATCATTCACAGATTCATTAAAACGAAAAATCAAAGTTGTAAATTTTTTTTCCTTCATAAATATATAAATATACCAGATTTAGGGTAGAGAATAAATTGACAACTGGTTCTTTTGTTTTCAGTAAGAGGTATCCCTGGCTTAGCCAAATACAAATCCCCTATTAGCTGCATAACCATGACTTTTCCCCTCCTTGTGTGTGTTGGAACCAGCTTTTGCTTGGATAGTCTCCTTTTGCATCAGCACTACGAAACACAATGCTCATGTTATATTTGATCTGGAGGAAATTTGTCACCTTCTTTCAGCATCACGTTGTAAATCAACCAGCAAGAAAGGACACCCTTGTAGAGCCCACTCCGTATTGTATTTTACTAATCCAAACCATCTATTTTGTAGATATTCATTCAAAAATCATATCTACAAAAAACCACTTGAATCCGATATCATGACCACTCAATTGAATTATTGAAATTTTAGTACTTTCTTGAAGCACCATGTTCATTGATTTTGTAGGATACAATTGGATGTCGAAATGGTTTCCAATTTGTATAATTTTTTGCAAGGATAATCTATGAATGTAGACTTAAAAAATAGATGTTTTGATTGTTGAAAAAATATAAAATTGTAGGGGACCCTAAAGGATGTCCCTCAAATAAAATTATTTGAAGGATCTCTCAATAGTAGGGGGTTGTATATACATACAAAGAGCTTCCATTAAGGGATCCCTCAAATACGTTTATTTGAGGGACACCCTTGTAGAGCCCACTCCGTATTGTATTTTACTAATCCAAACCATCTATTTTGTAGATATTCATTCAAAAATCATATCTACAAAAAACCACTTGAATCCGATATCATGACCACTCAATTGAATTATTGAAATTTTAGTACTTTCTTGAAGCACCATGTTCATTCATTTTGTAGGACACAAGTGGATGTTGAAATGGTTTTCGGTTTGTCTAATTTTTTGCAAGGATGATCTATGAATGTAGACTTAAAAAATAGATGGTTTGGATAGTTGAAAAATGGTCCATGTGTTTTACTACGTTGGCAAATTTAGTCCTTGTGTTTTCCATTTGGCCAATTTGGTCTATGCAGGCCCGGCCCTGGGCCAGGGCAGGAAGTGCGACCGCCCTGGGCCTGACTCAAGGGGGCCCCAAAATTAATATTTTTTTGTCATTGTCAGGTCATATTTAACGGTTATATAAATAAAATAAAAGACCTATTGACATAAAGTAACGCCAGCGGTGTTGGTTAAGCCTGGTTTTTAATTCAAGTCCTTCCCAAGTTCGAATCCCAGCATTGTGTTTCCTTCCTTATGCTTTTTTGAGGGTCTTCAAGTATGCAGGTTCTTTTTAGTAGTTCAATGCTTCTTCTTCTTTTTGGGTCTTCCATCGTTTCTTATAGAGAGATTTATATAAAATAAGCAGGTTCATTTTAGTACTCCAATGCTTTTATATACATCTCTCATTTTATAATATTATGTAGAGATATATAAAAAACCACATAGATGCATCTCTCATTTTCTTTTTTGTCTTCGATCCTTTCTTATATAGAGATATATATAAAATAAATGATACTATGTAGATCTCATTTTATAATATTCTACTTTCACATAGATTTTTCTTGTGTGGTATATATATATAAGGTCTATTTTTGGCGTTGCCCCGGGCCTTGAAAATCTCAGGACCGGCCCTGGTTAAAGCATTAGAGAAGCTGATGTTGCTGCAGACAGGGCAGCAGCAGCACGCAACTACGAGAAGTCACAAACTCACAACACAAGAAGAACTTCAAACTGAAGCAAACTTTCTTCTACATTTTCGTTTGTTTGGTTAATTGTGCAGCGCAGGCATCTAAATGGTTCAAACTCTGGACAGTTGAGCAGAGCTGAAAAAGTCTCCATAATTAGCTCCAACCTTTTGGCTTTGTTTGGTTCACCATCATGTGAGCTTGGGTGGGCTGGGACCCCTAGAGGATGCCAAATTTCTTATCTTATTTAATGATAAAACCCTAAGCAGAAAAACTTTTGTTTGATAATCTATTTTAAACTAATCTAAACTACGGGAAGGGGATTCGAACTCAGATGCAGAATAGGGAGCATATTCGCTCTATCCAACTTGGCTAAGTGCCCGTTTGGCATTGCTTATTTTGGGTGATAAGTGATTTTTTTAAAATTTTGGGAAGCCCAGCCCGTTTGGTAAACTATGAGAAAATCACTTATTGTTAAAAATTGCTGTGAGAGAAAGCTATAAGGGAAAGCAGCTAATGATGTGTTTTCATTTTCTGATTATGCAGGAATCAGTTTCGAAGAGGTGTTGGGTTTAATGATTATGCTGCCTTTTTTTTTTTCTAATTATGCGGGAATCAGTACCAACAACACTTTTAACAAAAAGTTTACCAAACGCCAAACTGCTTTCTCCCACAGCTGATTTCTTTCACAGCAAATCTGACAGCGATTATTTTCACAACACAGCAATGCCAAACTGGCCCTAAGTCCATATCTAATGAAGAAAAACTTTGACCATTTAGCTTATCACCAAAACAAAAACCTTATATTGGCCTAACCATTTAATAAATTTCGGGTTCACAACACTTCAATTGTTGCACCCAGTTTAGCAGGCTAGGAAAATTAAAAAAAAATTCAAGGTCCTCAAGGAAACACAATTTTGTACACATTTGCTGTTAGGCAAGCTCAATTTTCTAAAAAACGATGCAAGAGGCTTGTAGTTCAAGTGGTTAACAATATTTACCTATGCATTCAATGTGATAAGTTCGATACCCCCTTCACCAATATCTTTTGTATAAAAATAAAAATAAAAAATCTCTCAAAAACTGTAGACTTGTCAATTTTTTTTTGAAACTTAGCGATATATTGCATTCATTGATCAGGCACAGAGGCCGTTAGCCAAAAAGGCCAGTATAGAGGCCGTAAAGACCAGTACAAGAGCCGAAAAGGCCATAGCAATAACAGAGACTGATACCCATTTAGGGTTGATACAAAGGTGGACAGTAGTCCAGAGGGGGAGGACACCGGTAACATTGGGACCTCCAGTCATGGCCACAGGAGGCCAGAGAGAACTAGTGTGGACAGTCGTCCAAAGGGGGAGGACACCGGTAACTTCGGGAACTCCAATCATGGCCACAGAAGGCCAGAGAACGATCGGTAAAAAGACCGCGAGCCAGGAAAAATCCGACATAGAACACTAAACGCCGAAAACCAGACGCCTAGGCACCCAAACTACAAACGCAAAGTAACTTAAACCCTCACTAGTAAAATACAAGTAAGAGACAGCAACAAGCAACACACTCAAAACTAGTTGAAGCACAAAAAACAACAAGAAAATTGCAAAGCCAAAGATCCGCACAGCAAGCTCAAGTAACTCCAGGTAGAGCAGAGATCACCCACAACGACCAGGCCGAAGGGCAGCCCCCGGGGATGAATAGATCTGAGTAGATCTAGACAGGAGCACCAAAAACTGAGCCACCACCGTGCAGACAGCTGTAGGAACAACCAGAAGAACCAGGCTCTTACAAGTAAAAACTTGAAGAGAATCTTGATCGATCACCCCAAACGGGATGAAGACAAGCAGCACAAAAGGCTGAAGAGGATCGCACAGCACGCTTGGTCACTCGTTTGCCACCAAATCACAGATAGAAGCGAATTCCAGAGCTATTCCAGCCTGAAACAAAACTAAAATCTGCAAAAGAAAACAAACAGAGTAAAACAAAACCACCGGCAACACAGGGGATAAATCACCCAAGCCACTGAAAGACAGAGGCAACCTCCGGACACAGGAGATCCAAAATAGGAGCAGAAACAAGGGAGCCACCCACACCCAACCACACACTCCCTGCAAAAAGAAAAGAAAGGGCCAAGGTCACAGCAAAAGAAAAGGGGTGAAGAAGAAAAGTCAGGGAGGGAGGGAAGAAGATGGTGTGAAACAAAGAAAAGGGAGGAGAGAGGGGCGAGAGGAGAGGGGAGGGTGAGAGGGGAGGGGGAGAGCAAAAGGAGGTCACCCTCCCCCAAAGGGGGGTGGCGGCTAAAACTCCAAGCCTAGGGTTTTCTTTCCCAGGGAGAGAAAACCTGTTACTCAGCAATCAGTGAATCTCATTTTTAATGGTATTTATATATACATACTATGCTACTCTATAAAATATAAAATATATATTATGTGAGCCCAATTAAGACATTGGGCTCGTTTGGTACACAGGATTGGCTTGGACTGGCTTGGACTAAATTTAGTACCATGTTTGTTTTATCTAATCCTAG